CCCGGGCCCCGGGGAACTGCTGCGTGGAGGACGGGAGGGCACCAGGAACCCTCCGCTGCCCCCTGGGCCGACCCAGGAGATGCTCCAGGGCTGGTGGCCCAGGCCCTGCGGTGGGGACAGCCACCGCTCACCCCGCCCCACACTTCCATCGGCCCCAGCAGAAAGCGACCAGACAAGGTGTTCTGCTGTACTAATGTATTCCATCTTTCAAAAAGAAAGACATGATTTTAATATTACTTAACAATATGTTAAAAAAGTAGCCAGGCGGCCTCCGTGTTAATACAGTCGGACACTCTCTAACAGACTTGATGGTGTGAGTACTGGGTGGGTTTTGTTTTTGAACTTTCTCATTCTGCAAAGGGGTCTTACACAGCTGGCTACAAGTCGGGGGGTCAGACACAAACAGCGCGACGTGTACACTCTTAACCAGTAGATTGTGGAGAACGGATAGCGCCCGCCCGCCCCCCGCACGCCTCGGGTGGGAGCTGAGCGGCGGCGACGGCCCGGCGGGCAGGGACAGATGACAGGACAGGGCGAGATGCAGAGGCGACGGAGCCACGTGGATGCTGCACTCGTCCCGGGCGCGGTGGGGGGCGCGGCGGTCCGCCGGCCGAGGCGGGCTCACAGACTGCGCAGAGCGGACGGCGCGTCCTCCGTCGGGGGGTCTTGGGGGCGGTGGCCCACCCGGCACAGCCTGGGCGAGCACGGCAGCACCGGGGCCTGGACCCCACCCGCGCGTCCCTCTCCGGGTGGCCCTGGTTCAGTGGGCAGCAAAGGTGGCTTTCTTCAAGCTAAAATTGGACCAGTTGATGGACAGTCTTTGCCGGGTCTGTCTGGCGGAATCCAAGCAGAATCTGGAAGACAAGAGGCCTGACGGTCACAGGGGGACACGTGCCTCTCCAGCCGGTGTCCCCCCGGGAGCTCAGTGCACGGCTGTCCTGGGCCCCCGCCCTCAGGATGCTAACTGGCGCCCATAATGTTCACTGGCACTTTGCCAATCTCTATCAACTCGCTCCGGGGGAAGTCCCCAAGGAATGTGTGGTGAGCCTGGCCGCCCCGCCGGGCTCTGCGGCCACCTGTCCGCCCTTCCGACGCGCTGAGCCCGGGAGAAGCCGGCCTGCCCCCGCTGTGCCACACCCAGGTTTCCACCGTGCGACAATAACGCACGCCTGTTCCTCTGCCGTCCCCAGGGGACAGTGCGCAGGAATGGCTGCAGGTGGAGGCAGCCTCGCCATCCAGCTCTGGAGCACAAACTACACACTAAGCAGCGTATGAAAAACCACAGGCGACAACACAGTTTTTGTTAAATGAAGGAGAGAAACTTTCCTGCAGGAACCTGGGCCTTCGTGACGGCTGAAGTGCTCGCCTTCTCAGCTCTAATTTGGGTGGCAGAAATTTGAATTAAACCCGAAAATGGTTACAGTTGTCGCTCGCCCTAGATGAAACCGCGTCTGCCCGCGGCGGTGACACTGACCGCGTGCGTCCCGGTGGAGGGAAGGGCTGTGCCAGCTCCCAGAGCCCGGTTCTCTTTCCCCGAGTCCCAGCAATGTCACCTTGGGAACCTCCTGGAAGCTCCCACTTCTGCCTCTACTGTCTCTCCTCACCGCTGGCAACATCCTCCTGACATCTGCCGGGTCGCGTGTGCCCCACCTGCTCCCCACGCAGAGGCCAAAGCTCAGAGGCACAGCCGCCCCCGCCCCCGCCCCTCAAGGAACAACTCGAACCCGACCAGAGCGAGCGTCCCGCAGATCCCGCAGCACAGGGCACGAAGGCCCCGCGTGCCCCGGCTCTGCCTGCTCCCACCCCCGGCTCCGGCCCGCGGAGCCCGCACCACCGCCCGCAGGCCTGTGGACCACCCACGCCCAGCGCACGTGTAGCGGCACCTGGACACAACCCAAGAGCCCCAGGTCAGGAACCCAACACGCTAATGCGGGGTACTGCCGTCTCCTCCTGGAGCCACCATCCTGGGTGTGGCCTCCGCGGGGGCTGTGTGTGCTCACCCCTGCACTGGAGGGACCAGGCCGCACAGCCTCCTGTGGCTTCTGCACTCAGCATGGCGTCTGTGCATGGCCCCCGCCCCCAGGCGGCGGTCACTCCTGCGGCCGTAAGAGCAGAGTGCGCAGGGCGGACGGACGGATGCAGCCCTTCCACCCGTGGGGTGCACGTGCAGCTGCGGGGCTGTTCTGTGGGGGTGAGCAATCTGTGCACCCAGGAGCCGTGGGGACACTGCTCCCTGCCTTCCCGCGGGTGACCGGGCCGCATTTGCTCCCCGGCGGCCAGTCAGGCCGAAGGCCTCATGGCAGTTTCTGTGATGCCCACCGTTCCGTCCCCACATCTGTCGACGGGCCTTTTTCTTACAGGTCTGTAATATTTCTTCACACATCTTGATCCTGATCCTCTGTGATGTGTTGCAAATGCTGCCTTGCTTTTGCTTTTTTTAAAATCTTTTAATTTAGTTTCAAGTATACAGTGCATTGGTTAGACATCTATGTAGTTCATAAAACGATCCCCCCCAACTGCTGCCTCCTTCCCGACCCTCCACTTAGCCAACGTATTAATTAATGCTGACTGCATCCACTATGCCGCGCTCCCCATCCCCGTGACCATCCATCAGCTAATTTGTACTTCTTTAGCCTTCACCCCATTCTCCCAGCCCCCCAAAGCTCCCTCCCTTTTGTCCATCACCAAACTATCCACTATATTTGTGAGTCTATTTTTGATTAGTTTGTCCTTTTCCTTAGATTCCGCATTTAAGTGAAATCATGTAGTGTTTGTCTTTCTCTGTCTGACTTAAGCACCTTCTAGGTCCAGCAAAGCAGGATCTTTTTCCATCCCCTTCCTCTTCATATGTAGGGGTCTTGTTTTCTTATCGTTTCAGCCACTCTATCTTTTGGTCGGAGCACTTAATTCTTTTCCATTTAAGGTACTTATTGATAGGAATGTAGTTGTTACCATTCTTTATTCCTGTTTTTTGATAAGTTTTTTTTCTTCTTAAAGAAACATTTCCTGTAATACTGGCTTGGTGGGGATAAATTCCTTTAGCTTGTTTTTCTCTGGGAAGCTCTTTATCTGTCCTTCAACTCTAAATGATAGCTTTGCCGAATGAATTATTCCTGGTTATAGATCCTGGGTCTTCATCTTGTCAAATATTTGTTGCCAAGCCCTTCTGTACTGCATAGCTTCTTCTGAGAAATCAGCTGCCAGTCACATGGGTGTTCCTTGTAGGTAATTATTTTTTCTCTTGCTGCTTTTAATATTTTATTTAATCTTTGGCATTTCAATTATGATGTGTCGTGGTGTGGGGCCTCTATGGATCCCTGATTTTTGGAATTCTCGGAGCTCTCTGGGGTTTTATGTCCATTTCCTTCACCGGGTCAGAAAAGCTTTCCATCATTATTTCTTCAAACAGCTGTTCGACATCTTGATTTTCTTCAGTGATGCCAGTCAGACGAATATTTGAAGCCTTAACAGTGTCCCATGTGCTCCTTAAATTATTTTTATAGTTTTGGCATCTTTTTTCTTGCCATTCTGAGTGTCCCGATTGGCTTTCCTGTCCTCTAGATAGGGCATATGATCCTCTTCTTTATTCACTTTCTTTTTTCTTTTGTTTATTCCATTTAATATACTTCTCATCTGAGATAACGTGTTCGTCATTTCAGACTGGTGCCTTTTTATAATTTCCATTTTTATGTTTTTTATCTGTTTGTTGAAGTTCTCTACACTCCCCAAAAGTTCACCGAGCATCTTTATAACCAGTGATTTGAACTCTGCATCTGTTAGATTCTTGACTCCACTCTATCTGGATCTCTGTTCTGTTTTCTCGTATGGCTTCTGCTTCTTTGTCTTCCCATTTGGCTGCCTTTCCGTGTCTGTTTCTATGTACTAAGCAAAGCTCCTAAGTCTCCCGGTCTTATTAGTGCGGATTTGTGTAGCAGGTGTCCAGTGGCACAGTCCTGAGGGGGGTTCAGCTGCAGGCCAAATTAGCCCAAGCCTCTGCCCTTCCGGGGCCACCTGTTAAGATACAGTAAGCAAAATCCACAGATGTTGTGCTTACAGTTGCTTCAAAAGGCCACGCCAGAAACCAAGGCCAGCTGCTTCCAGTGTTGAGTTTAGGCACTGCTCAGCAAGGAGCACGTGACTCTCGGAAGACACACCTGGATGTGGCTTGGGTGGGGCCGCGAGTTGGGGGAGGCGGGGTTTCAGGGAATCCTCTTGGGCGGAGCGCTCTCTGTGATCCAGTCTGATGACGTCACGGCTATGGCGCGCTGTGTCCTGCGCAATGGTAGGGTGCAGGGCTCAACGGGGAACAGTGGATACCGCCTGCACCTCTGCACGGAGAAAGTCTCGCCTCAGCCCTCACCCCGACAACGTCTCCCTGTAAGTCCCTGGTGGCCCCTGCGCGCAGCCGAACGGGCGCTGGTGCTCAGAGCGAGCAGGTCCGTCACCGCGACAATCCGCTCGCGGACGCGGCCCCTTTAAGAGCGTCTGCCGCTGCGGCAGCCTCCGTCCCTCTCAGCCCCTCGGGCCCCCGACGCCCCGTCCTGCCCTCCGCCGCTGCGGGGTGACGTCTTGGACTTCTGCCTCGTCGTATGGCTGGTTCCTCTAGATCCCCGGCGATGTTTCCTTGCTGCTCCTCGTTTCCGTCACGACTCTGACTTGGTCGCCAGAGGGATGAACAGAGCCTCTGTCATCTGCGCCATTTTTCTTCCGCCCTCTGTCTTGCTTTCTTTAAGGCAAACTGCTGACTGTATTTATCAATCTTCTGTGTTTGGTGCTTTACGAAATCTCCCCTACTGAGGTCCAAAACCATCCAACTGCGTTCCGAAGCGTAAGGCCGCCGTCGACGGCTAAAGCCGGAGCCCGCCTGGAGCGGACCGTGGGCCTGGCGTGAGGTGGGGTCCAACTTCAAAGTCTTCCTCAGACAGGTGACGACGCTCACAGCCCGTCTATGAACATGCCCTCATTTCCACAGTGACCCGCCAACCCGTCTTCTGTCATACTGCAGAGCACCAAAATCCGTGCTGTAGCAACTGTGCCTCCCTAAGGCTTTGCAACAAAAAAGGGCCTCCTCGTCTTTCCCGTCCTCCCAGGAGGAGCTCCGCAATGTTTTACAACGTTTTGGTTTTGTTTTTGTTTTGGCAAAGGTAACACACAGATAGCAGGGTGAATGAAACGAGTGTGTAATTTATGGAACAATTATAAGGCGGAGTCAGTCACGCCACGGGACAGGGCCAGCACCCAGGTGACCCCTTGCCCCGTGCCTTCTTCAGGCACAGCCCTCTCCTCTCCTCAGAAGTAATCGCCATCGTAGCTTTTTACGTTGATAACTTCCTTGCTTTTCTTTGTAGTTTTGACACCTATGTATGTGTCTCTGAACAATATACTTAATTCCTTGAAATATACTTTATTTAGGTGTAATCTGTGTACAACAAACTGCAGCTAGTGTGCGCTCACAGGCTGAAAAGCTGTGGGTCCAGGGAACCGTGGCGTCAGTGGAGACCCAGAACGTGGCCGCGGAGCCCTCGCGTCTCCTTGCTGTCCCGGCCCTGGGCACACTGCGGTGCTTCAGTGCTGGTGTCCGCGGGATGGAGAGCACGGCTCGTTTACCCCGTTCATCTGTTGGGGACATTTGGGATGCTCCCCGTTTGGGGCTGTTGTTATAAACAGAACTTTCGGGAACATTCACGTACAAGCCTTTGTGTGGGCAGACACCCAGGAGGGTAGCTGCGGGTCTGAACGGCAGTTGTGTTCGCCAATGCACTTTAGTTTTGCCTAATTTGAACTTTGTATAAATGGAATATTATGTATAGTCTTGCATTCCATGACTTTTGTTCCTCTTGGAAGATGCGTCCATGCTGCAGATTGCTCTGTTAGCTCCTTCTGGTTGCCATGTAACATGGCACTGTGTGTCTGTATCACAATATATCCATCCCAGCATGTTTTGGAAACTGTGATGTTCCACAAAACCCTTCTTGGGTTTAAATCCACAGGTTTTGGGAAACTCCATAGCTTTATGATATTAACTCTTCCTCTCAGTGAATACAGGAGCTCTGTGATTTAGGTGCTCTTTAATGCTCTTCAGTACAGTTTCACGGTCTTCTGTGCACAAGTCTTGTGCAACTTTAGATTTATACTGCAGAGATTTGGTTGCTATTACAAATGCTCTATTTAAACCAGATTTTTGCATTAATGATGGTACAGAGAAAGATAAATAACTTTTGTCCACTGACCCTATGGCTAGTCCCTTGATAAACTGTTCTCTATATTCCCTTGTAATTTCCTGTGTAGATGATTAATCACCTGTAGAATGGAATTACATTTCCGGTTTTCCACTCCTTAATCCTCTGACTGTGTTTCTTGTCTTATTGCCTAGGAACTACACGTGGAGGCCGAACAGAAGTGGTGAGCGCTGAGTTCCACGTGTGCTTCCGCACCTTTCCTGTTTTGGAAAACGTTCCCTGTAGACTTCTCCCTCTCTCTCTTTCCCCCCACCGCCCGGTCCCCCCTCTCCCCCCACCCTCTCTCCACCTTCCTCTCCCTCCCTCCTTTTCAGGTTAAGGATATTTCTCTCTGTTACTAGTTTATAATTTTTCTTCTTTTAATTATAAATGGGTGCTAAGATTTTATCAATTTTTTTTTTCGGAACCCACTGAAATGATATGATTCTTCTGTAATATACAAAGGTAGCAAATAGCATTTGTGAGTTTCCTAGTATTAGACAGCCTTGCATTCTTTCTTGTGACGACCCAGTTTGGTTATACACTGCTTTTTAAAATACACTGTTGGATATGGAATGTGAATATTCTCTTGATGACTTTTTACACCTAATATTCATGAGGGAAACGAAGCTGTAACTTTTCTCTTTTTTTTTGGTATTGTGTTTAGCAGATAAGGTATCAAAACTTTAGTTTTCTCGTGAGACAAAGTGGGGAGCACCCTCTCATGCTCCCTTGTCTCTCGTTTCAGTTCTGTCAGAATCTGTGTAAGACTGGATAATCTGTTCTTTGAAATTTCAGGAGAATTCTCTTTAAACCTGTCAGAATGTAGTTTTTTTACTGAGAAGACTTGGGAGTTAGTTACTGCTTTAACTGGTACTGGGCCATTCAGACTTTATTTTAATCGAAAGACTGATTTTTTATTTTATTTAAGTTTTAAAATTAATTACAGTGAGGTTTGTTCCCAGTGTTCTCTTATCGTATTTTAATCTCTATTGTGTCTGTAGTTGTGTCTTCCTTTTACTCACATGTTCACAAAATTAAAGAAATTTTATTACAGAAAACCTCAAACATGCCCAGAATGGCGTGTGGTGAAGAGAACACAGCCATCATCCAACTATGACAACTATTAACACCGCATTTCCTCATCCATCTAATTATGGTATTTTTGTGTGTGTCTCTTTCTATTTCTTGACCAGTGTCTTGAACATTCATTTATCTAGTTAGTGTTTCTAAAGAGTCAAACTTTGGCTTCGCTGGTCTCCTCTTCGTTTGTTTTCTATTTCATTTCTCTTACGTATCATCTCCTTTGTTTTACTTTCTTTGGGTTTATTTTGTTCTAATTTCTCAAGTGAAATCTTTCACTCATTGATTTTCGGGTTTTTAAAAACTTAACTCTAGCATTTAAGACTTTACAGGAAGAGCTTTCAAGAGCAAACATTTTCTGCATTCCACAGGTTTTCGTATGTGATGGTTTCACTATCTTTTAGTTCTGCAGATTTTAAAACGCCTACTGTGATTTCTTAGTTGGCCTGAGAGTTATTTAAAATTATGTGCTTTTTGATTTCCAAGTATTTATGGATTTAAAAATGTACTTATCTCCAACTTAAATGTGCTGTGGTCAGAGGACACAAATTATACGTGCTCATTCTTCGGAATTTTTGAGTCTTGCTTTCTGAGGCCCACGTCTGTGACTGTCCGTGCGTGCTCAAGGACGCATCTCTCTGGCCCCAGCCTCAGGGCTCCCGCCCTAGGTAAGTGCAGGTCAAGCTGTGCGGGCTTCCACACCTCCACGGTGCCCAGTACCCAGTGGCTCAGCCATTATTCACACAGCCTGGGCCCTCCCACCAGGACGAGGGCTTTGTCTGAGTCTCTGTGCAGCCCAAACAATTCTGCTTTTTGTATTTTGAGGCTACTTCATTAAGTACTTTACATTGAACATTTCTATTCCTAACTGAAACTTTTATCATTATGTAGGTAGCAATCTTCGTTTACTCCTTGTATTAAAATATATTTTGGCCTTCTGAGCCATGCTTCTCTTGCTTCCACTTCTGGAAGTGGACTTTCCTTTCTAATAAAACTTCTACTGAAAAGTAAGTAAGTAAGTAAGTAAATAAATAAATAAATAAAATACATTTTGTCTGACAACAGCTTTCCTTTTTCCTATTTCCACCTTTAAGTGTGTTCTTACAAACAGTATATATACATATATGCATGTGTATGGATATAAAAACGTTAACACACTCTGACAAGCTATTTACTTTTATTTTTGTCTGCTTACTGTCCTGATACAACTGAACCTGTGCTTATCATCTTTTTAAAATGTCTGCTTACTGTACTTTGTATTTCTTTCTTTCTTTCTGCGCTTTGACCTTTTCCCTCATAATTAGCAATTTATAAACCCTATTTCTATTCTTTCAATGTTTGCTCTTGAAATTGAATCATGCCCATTTGGCTTAAAGTGTGACTGTTAAACGTCCTGAACAATAAAGGACTTGGGGATCCTCAGCTCTGCTTCACCCCTGGCTTGTAGACGGCTGCTGTTCAATGCCGTGGGGTCTTTCAGACATAACGTCAATCTGACATCATCACGATACTGTTCCACAGAAAACCTGTTCGCATTTACCTACATTTATCAGGCTATTTCTCATTCCTTCCTGCATGTCAGGCTGCTCTGAGGTCAATTTCCTTTTTTCTTAAAGGATACAGGTCTCTTTGCAGTAAGCTCCTGCAACTTTTTCTTTATTTTGGGTAAGAATAGTTTTGTGGGATACATAATTATTGACTGACAACTTTCCCTCAACGCTATAAATATCACTCCATGGCCTTCTGGTTTCATAGGCTATGATGAGGAATATAGCTTTGTTTGTTTATCCTATTGGCTTATGTTGTGCTTTGGAATTTGTGGATTCATATTTCTCATTACTTCTGTAAAATCCTCAGGTACCGTCTCTTTAAATATTGCTTTTCTGTAGTCTCTCCATTTTTCCCTAGAAGAGGCTCCAGTTAAATGTATGTCGGACTTACTGAGTCTCTCCTCCGAGTTTCTTAACTCCTCATTCATAGTTTTCATTTTCTTTGTGTCCTGGAGCATTCTGGGTACATTTTAAAAATATATCTTCTAGTTCACTAATTCTCTCTTCAGCAGCATCTAATCTATCATCTGTCTGTTAAGGTCTTGATTGTAATAATTATATTTTTCATTTCTAGACGTTTCATTTCTTTCCCCCCAACTCTTGGGTGTCTGAGATTCTCTGCTTATGAGGTCATGCGTGATTTTAAACTCCAAGGTTCTGCCTATACCCAAGAAATACCCCCATTCTATCATCTTCTCCCCAGAGTTCAGGGCAAACTGTCCTACTAATTCAGAGTCTTTTGATTTCTGTACAAACGCAGTCACCATCTGAGAATAATTCCGTGTTTCCCTTCCCCTTTGTTTCTTTTTATGCCTTTACAAACAGAAGTTATAACAGGCATTTTTTTTAAATCTCAAGAGATAGCTTTTAACGTTCCTCAATTAAATATGACACTTACTGTATTTTATGGCTACCTTTCCTTATGTTACAGATGTGACCTTTGAGTCCTAGTTAGAACGGATGTTTAATTTTAGCAAATGCTTGACTACATCTGCTAAGATAAAATACATACACACGTAAATTACATGATAAACATCATTTCCAGAGACACTCAGAATTTTACAGTGTTTCACATGGCTTTCTGCACTGCAAGCTAACTGCTGCTTTTGTGCTTGTGTGTTTCTGTGTCATCTGAAACAAAAAGAGCAAAGCACTTCCAAAGAACAAGACGTTTGAAAATAAAAATATTTTTGTCAAAACTTACACAGTAGATAAAGGATTAATGGACCCGGCACTAATAAAGCAAGCTTATTAGTGACACCGAGCGAATATCTAAAAGGTCGCTTTTCTCCTGAAAAGCATGGCGCATCAGCGTGCTGTAGCGCCGGCACGCGTCAAGACCGCCGGGGGAACTGGGAGCGCAGACGGTGGCCCCGGCCCGGTGTGACCCCGCAGGTCTGGGGGGACCCACGCCCCCGGGCTGTGCGCTGCTCCCGGGCCACTGACAGCCGCAGCCGTTCACTAGTCTTCACACACCAGGGTGGAGCGGGAATGGGTGCATGCTGGGAGTGTGGCCGGGACGAGTGTGGCAGAGTGTGGCAGAGTGTGGTCGGCCTTCGCATGCTGAGCGCGCCCAAGCGGACGGAACTGCTAGGACAGCCGCCGGTGCCAGGGGCGGTCACGCACGGCCACCGTGAAGCGCCAGCATTTCGCACACGGCCCTAACGTTTACCTTTTGAAATGTTCCACTTCCCTCTCCGTCTCGTCCATGTCCACACTGTCCAGGTCGATGTCTTTAGGCAGAAAGACGTCATCTGTGGGAGGAAAGGAAGCAGAGGGTCAGATTACGCGCCGGGCTGCCTTAGCAGGACGCGACTGGTCTTACTTCGACAACTGCACAAACTAAACATTTTTTCTAAAATGAGATTTTACAAGTGGCCAAAGGAGAGCAGATCTGTCTTCCATGCCCACGAGCACCCAGGTCCGACCTGCGGTCACGGACCTGCGCGGCTGCCGAGCAACCGGCCGTGGCTTCAGGTGCCCTGGGACAGACACATTTGCTGGTGCCCGGCCTGGTTCCCCAGTCAGTTGGTCACTGACTCACGATGGGGGACGCCTCGGGCGGACTCTGGGAACCCTAGGGTGCCCGAATCCCTGCTGGAGGGACGGAGGGAGCAGGAGCACAGCTGTCAACGGAAGCTGTAATAAAGCAGGCCCATGGGGAGGACAGCACTGTCCCTTCAAGTGCCCGTCACAGTAAGAGGACACGATTGTACTCAGGACCCAGATGGCGACGTCTACGGGGAGACGGCTCCCGGGGCATCCCGGAAATGGCATCTGAGACTTTTCAGGCCACTCCAGTAAAATGATCCTCTCTGAACACAGGCTGGATGGACAGGGTGACCGCCGACACGGAATCACGGCACGGGCAGAAGATTGGCTCGCCTGGACAGAAGGTTTTCGCTGCATAGGACTCAGGTCCCTGTGGAATCTAAGAGAGTGACCTAACGCCAGGTGACTCAAAGGCCAGCAATGTGAAGAGGAGGAGGATGACGGCGCCCCGCCAGGTGAGAGAAACAGAGAAGGGGTAGAGGTCACCATGTCGGACAAAGCAGAATGTTAAGTCAGAAAAAGGAAACACGACGAAAAGGACTTTTTTAAAAATAAAAGGCAACAATTTACTAAGAAGATATCACAGTTAGGAATGTGCGGCGAGCCACACGGACACCCCGAGTGGAGCAAAGCGACGGGAGAAGCGAGAAAACACGGAAGCTCATTAACGAATGGAAGGCAGGGCAGAAACAAGGGGGCGGAAGACCCAGACCTAGACGACTCATCGCCCCGCCACACGCACCTGACGTCAGCACGCCTCCGACAGGATTCACACCCGTTCCTGACTAAAACACGAAGAAAGGTAGGAATCACCGGATACTTTCCTAATGTGATAAAATAAACACACTATATCCTAAAGCCAGAATCTTACTCGGCGTGGAAACAGCGGACGTTTTTGTCAAGCTCAAGAAAGATACAACAAAAGACAGAACAATCAGACGTGTAAGAATTTGAAAAGCACACGTAAGGCTTTCTCTATTTGCAGAAATGTGCTAAACTACCTGGAAAACCCTAAGGAATCAACCACACTCAAACAGTAACGTAATCCAGTCAGGGAACCGATAGAAAGCTAATTACAGAAACCAACAGCTTTCCTACATACAAAGAACTCGGTAGAGGAGCTCTAGCCAACAGAAATACAATGTGAGTCACAGATGTAATTTAAGTTAACCACGTTAAAAAAAAAAAGAAACAGGTATAACTAATTTTAGTAATATATTTTACTTAAATATATCCCCCAAATTATCACATCAACAAGTAATCCGTATAAAAAATTATATTCAGATATTTTACCTCCTTTTGTTTCATATCAGGTTTTCAAAATCTGCTGTAACATGACACTTACGACTGGCCCTTTCCAGTGCTCAGTAGTGACACGTGACCAGTGGCTACAGCACTTGGCGGTGCAGAGTTAGGAGACAATGGCGGAGAATACCCCATTGAAGTTAAAAACGAGGAAGATTAAATACTTAGCAATAAGCTCAGTAAGAAAGGTGAAAAATCCAAAAAAACTTAAACATCCCTAAAAGGGTATCTACACGAAAGCAGACTTGAACGAACAGAAAAACACCCCCCTTTCTTGGGGAGGACGATCAATATTAAAAGGACATCAACTCTCCCTAAATTATTTAATTAATTTAATGCGATCCCAGCAGAGCTCCCAACAAAATGTTTTTTTAAGGGAGCCAGGCACACACACTGACACTGAAGCTCGTGTGAAGAAGCAAACACAAAAGAACCAACGGGGGATACCGGAAATGAGAAGCTGTGAGTGGAGAACAGCCCTCTGAGTCACCGAAACATACCGAGCCCCCAAAATAACTACATCGCTGCAGTAATGGCACGTGGATAAATGCAGCGGACAAGAGCAGAAGTTCCGGGACAGACACAAGTCACAGGGACATTCAGTGAGGCACAAGGCCACGCCCCGAACCACGGAGGCAACGTGAACCTCTGACGACCGGTGCGGGGACCACTGGCCAACCATTTGGAAAAAGATAAACCTGGACCCATATCTCACGTGACACATAAGAATGAATTCCAAGTGCACCGGGGAGTCAAACGAGAGACGAGAAGCCACACAAACTCCGGAAGAAATGGGCACAGGCCCCTTCGACCTTGCTGTCGGGGTCAAGCTTCCTAACAATTCAGAATCCAGAGGCAATAAAAGGCTGACGGGCTGACTACCTAAGAGTGAAAACGAACAGAACGGAACAGAACTGCTGACGGCTAGAAAGCACCACGAACAGTCCAAGGACAGCCTGTGACCCACGCGAATGACCCGCACACGCCACGCAGGGGCAGGGGGACGTCTCCGGTCTACACAGGGCTCTTAAAAATAGAAAGAAAAAAAATCCAGTGAAAATGAGAAAAAGGAATAGGAAACTCACGAAAGAAGATAAAGAAACAGCTCTTAAGAACACGACCCGACGGCAATCGGAGAAAAATGGCAACGAAAACGACAGAGCAGACGGACTGTGAGTGATGGACGGGCTCGAGCCACGAGCACGCAGCCTGAGGCCACGCGATGCGCGCGGGCGGGGGAAGCAGGCCCGTGGGAAGGCTACGGTGCTACCTAACGAGACCTCCCGACACCGCCAAACCGGGTCGCCCGCGGCGCGGCCCGCGATGGCGCACGCTCGTGCGCGGGAGGCTGTGAGCGAGCGCGACAGGGCCCGTCGTGCAGAGCGCCGGGCGGCTGGGCGAGGGCGACGTGGGGCGACGGCCCGAGCACACGAAGTGCGGACAAAGCCGAGGGCCAGACGGCTTCTCTGGCCACGCTGCCTTCTGTGTAAAAAGCAAAGCACAAGAAACCATGGGGCCCCTGCGGGAAGTGCGTGGGAACGAGATGGAGAAACTAGCATCGGGAGAAGAAAAACAACGGACACAGACAGACTTCAGCCAGCGACCCTCGCTGCCGGGACCGTAGCACGACCACGTGCCTGCACCCCAGGGAGAGCCAACCCAAGCCACCTTTAAAGCCGCATGATCTCCGGGTACAGACAAAGGACCTGTGAAGAAACAGTGGCGAGGGCGGCCTAGGACAGAGTGCGTCACCAGAGTGGCCACATGCGCGGGGTGGCAGAGTCTGAGAAGGGAGTGGGCAGGGGCAGGGTGGCACGGGCGTGGAGGCATCGGGGCGGCTCGTGGTCCTCACGGCAGAAACAACAGAAACGTGAGGGCGCGCACGCATGCCCTGCCTGGCTCTGCCACCTGCGAGGCCGAGAAGCAGGGACGTTCTGGCAGCACCGGTCTGGGCCCCGCAGAGCCACCCTCCACCAACGCAGCCGGGGCTCCTGGAGGAGCGGCTGATTCAGGGCTAGGACGGGGAGAGCGGCAGCTGCGCCCCAAGAGTGCCGGGGTCGAGGGGCCATGCTGAGGGCACCACAGCCAACAGCCCAGCAAGGAGGAGAGTCCATGGCATGGACTGGGAGCCGCGAGGCCTCCCCGGCGTAGGCCGCCGCGTGGGGAAGAAGGGACGCCGCCCACAGCAGAGCGCCGCGTCGGCGAGCACCGGACGTGGCAGTCGCAGCCGGGCAGGGAGGCCTGCACAGGCGCTGACACCAGCAGGGGAATGTTAAATGAAAATCCAGACTCGTCTCCCCGTAAGGCACACGGGCATTCGCCTGACGGTGGAGGGGCCAGGCGGCCGCTACCTCAGCCCAAGACCAGCGATGACACCAGCAGGTGGCCCGCACTACGAAGGCCCCGCTGCCACTGCCAGAAAACACGGCGGAGACGGGCCGTGAACAAGCAGCTCACAAACCTGAGCAGAACCACTCCAAAAATGAGGTGGACCGTCCCTTTTGGGAACATCAAGGTCACGGACTCTAAGGGCCGGGCCAGAGAGACAGGCCATGCGGCCCTGGACAGGATCCCACGTCATGCGGAAGAAAGGGATCTTCCTCTCCACAAAGGACAGTGACGCAGCACGTGGAGAGGCAGGACACGGGCCCACACTGGGAGTGGGAGGCGTGTGGCACCCTCCATCGTGGCACGCCGCGCTCGGCTCTGTGACAGGGGTCCCCTTTCTGTGGACGCGCACGCGGAAGCGGTCCAGGCCTGCCGCTTCTCTGTCGTTTGCTCAGAAGAGCCACGGCGAGGGGGAGCATGGCGACGTGCCCACCCGGGGCTGCAGCGTGCAGGCTTCTCTGCACTCTTCGCGGGTTTCTGGGAAATCTAAAATTATGTCAAAATAACAGAAAAACCAAGAACGGCTCTTTGGCTACTCGTCCCTCCTCGCTGGTGAGGATGGGTCACCAGCAAGTGCTTCCTCATCCTACGACGACACAGACTCAGAGGCACGGCCGGACGGGCCACCCTGCGTCCCCTACTTACCGATGGAGCTGTGGCCTCGGTCTGCCTTCTTCTTCTTGTTTCTCTTGTTCTTGGCCCGGGGCTGCGGGCCGTCGGCCAGCGCCAGCTTGCCGTTCTGCAGGTGTGCACCCTGCAGGTGTGCACCCGGGGAGGCGGGCTCCGCGGGGCCCGGGGCCGGCTTCTCCTCCTTGATGTGGTTCAGCGGCTTCCTGTTGTTGTTGTTGCTATTGACCTTTCGCTCCTCTCTTTTCTGCTCCACCAGGAAAGCGAGGTCGGGCGCTTTCGGCTTGGACTCGGCCTGGGGCCGGGGCCGGGGCTGGCCCTCTGAGGCTCTGGGGGGCTCCACGGGCTTCCTTGCTGGCTCGCTGCTGGCCTTCGCGGCCTGCCTCAGCTTCTGCCGGCCCGGGCTCTCCTTGTGGCGGTGCATGATGTCCAGGAGAAAAGACAGCGTCTCCTGCGGCCTCCCGCTGGCCTCCTTCGTGGGGAGGAGCTTGGAGTCCCTGCTGTCCGTGGGCGCCCCCGGGCCGGGCTCTGTGTGGGGCTCTGTGTGGTCGGCGTGTCTGGAAGGAGAGTGAGGGGAGGCGTCCGGTTCGCCAGTGTGCTCCAGGGGGCCACCGTGGGGGCTTTCAGGGTCGGGCCCCGACTCGGTGGCTGCCTGGGGACCCGCGGGGAGCCTGTCCGACTTGGGGCGCTCTCGGCCCGGCCTCTCCTCCTCCTCCTTCTTCTTCTTCACAGCTCTCAGTTTCCGAAGCTCCTGCAGCCGCTCAAAGTCCTCGTCCTCCGGCCGCTGCTCCCCGCGGAGGTGCAGGTGACCCCGCGCCCTGGCCTCGGCCTCCAGGCGAGCCTTCTCCTCCAGCTGCCCAGATGAAAAGAAAAGGTGACTGAAGACTACGATTTTTAGACAACAGCGGTCTAAAAACTAAGACGTGCAGAAAAATAATTTAGAAATGAATCACAGTTCGAACGTAAACTCTGAGAGGCGCTCTCACAGACAATGAGCTACCACTGAACATCCCTGCCCGGAATGCCGTGTGCTCCGCGGCGGCCAGCCCCCTCCCCGCTGCGGTAAGCACTCACTCCACCTGGCACACTTAAAAAGCTCCCGCCCCATCCCACCCCACCCCGCTGTCCCAGCTGACAACACAGCTGGCGACGTGAGTGGACTGCGCAGGACATGGCTGCGGATCTGTGGACTCTCGGCTGACGCACACGTGTATCACTGGGAGGTGCAGAAATGGGTACTGAAACGTCAACTCCCCGTCTCCCGCTCTGGCAGAGAAACGAAGTTCTCAGCATTTGTTTTCACTGTCACAGAGCAAATGACTTTCTGAAGTACTCGACGTTACACGTCAAATGGACAACGGTCACCGCTGTTGTCTAACGGGGCAGGACAGGACCCTCCACCCGAGGGCAACCTCACGTCTACTCGTGGGCTGCATGCCGGGACCGACTCCGTCTGGGGAGCAGGTGAAAGCCCCTGGGGAGGGCCTGGGCCCAGAGAGGCCAGCGCTTGCAAGAAACTTTGGCAGAAAATACCTTGTGTGGGAAAATTTAAAGATCCTTTCAAGTTTAAATCATTTTTCATAATATTTCAGTAGGTGTTTTTTTGAGACAATTTACTTGTTTTTTAAAAAACTTAAATCTAAAATTATGTTAAATCTCTAACGACCGAGTTTTTAAATATATATTTGACAAGTCCAGGAGAAATTCTTTAGAACCCTTGCTCCGTGGGCTGAGGAGAAGGCGCCCCGAGGGAAGCGCCAAGAGCAGCTCCGGGAGCGCCCAGCGCACAGGCCACAGCGAAGCCAGCCCGGCGAGCTGCCTCCACCTCAAAACCAGCTGGTGGGAGAGACAAAGAGCGGTGTGGGCTGCTCCATGAAACGGGGTGCTAGGTACTGAGCACACGGGCTGCAGCGAGTGCTGAGGGTGATGCACGGCGGGCCTGACAGGGCTGCACCATTAGGTCTGGGTCCAGACCGCCCGCAGGCACAGAGGCCACGAGTCGAGGGAGGGGAGCGCCCCTGAAAAGCACTATAACGAACCTACAAGGTTCTAGTGACTCCTGCGGGGCCACCCGGGGACCCTTGACGCTGCCATACTTCTGGGTGGACCCGCCTCGCTGTCTCCAGCCCTGTAGGAATCTGTGAATCCAGATCTGTTGGGGGCAGGAGTTCCCCAAAGCCCCTCATTGGCCTTGCCAGTCACTGCGGACCTCTCTTGGAGCTGAGCTACAGCAGCGTTCTTCTGGGCGAAGCCACCTGGTAGAAGGCTGCAGGACACGTGGCCAAGCTGCGGTCCGCTGTAGGAGCGTTCTCTCACACCTGTCATTACGTGGGGACCTCGCCTCTCCTCTGAGCGACCCGTCCCACTGTGAGGACTCCTGCAGCCATTCCCAACCCCCGCGAGTCCAGATCTGCTTGCTGAGGTCTGGCCCCCGGAGCCAGACGCGAGGGGGCTGCAACCAGGAAGATCCTGGAGCCGCAACAGGGGCTGAGGGGAGCCCTCCAGGAGAACTCGGGGGCGGGGGGCCCAGAGTAGATGCAGCACCTGCATCGCTGACAGGAAGAAAGGGACACAGTTCCTCAGCCACCAGCACAAACAGTCTTGTTGGACCTTAGGTCAAGTCCAGTCACGGGCAAGCACTGGGCAAACCTGCCTAAACTTGGTAGGTGACTTCTTTTGTGACACCCCACCTCCTGCGATGAAGTGAGAACTGCCCAGCGCTGCCCACAACGGCCATCACCTCACCCTTCCACCGGTGACATCCACGCCGTGTGCCGACCCCCATCTGGAATGGCATGGTCTGATCCCCCCGCCAGTGGGACAAGAGCCCGGGGCTGCCACTCACGCCTGTCAGAGGCTGCTGCTGTGCCCAGGGCGCTGTGTCAGCCTTGTATCCAAGTCAATTCTGCGGCCAGTCTCCAAAGGCCCACAGCCACCCCCACTTCCTCTGCATCCCCAGGACAGAGAGAGGCAGGGTCTGTCACCCCCGCGCTGGCCGGAATGAGAGCTGGGAGGCTCACTTTAGGTCCAGTCACAAAGCCAGGACCCAAGGGGAAGCTGTGTCCTGCAACGCCACTGTAGGGCTTCGCCAGCCTCGGCTCAGGCCACCACGGACCACTGGCGCCGCGTGCACCGTACCTTCCTCTGCTTGTGCCGGGCCCGCTTGGCCGCCCGCGAGCTGCTCGCCGGCTTGGGCCCCGAGCTGTTGATGAACTGCAGCAGGTCCTCCACGCGCCGGTGGTCCACCACGCTCTCCGAGAGCGGGTCCGCTTTCTTCGGCTGCTCCTCCTTCCTCTTGGTCAGCCGCAGGCGAAGCTTT